TTCAGTATACAAACATGGATTCCATCACTGGCTTGTAGGGACTATTGAAATGCAAGACAGTGAAAGCAATTGCCCAGACGGAGCATATAGAAAAGAGGTTTAGGCCTGAGTCCTGGGAAGCGGGAAGCTGGAAGCTGGAAGCTGTACAGACCAGAGAGAAGATAAAAAGATAAAGGAAAATAAGCAGATGGGAGGCCTGTAGAAAGCAAGGATAAGGAAGAATAAGGGTCTCCTGTATTTGAAAATGCTGAGAAATCAAATGAGATGAGGGCAGGCTGGGCTTAGTTTAGTTAGCAAGATGGTGGTCACTGGCGCCTTCCCAAGAGGAAGTTCAAGCACATGGAAGAGATCATGCAGACTAAAGTATTGAGTGAGCGGGAGATTAGTGGAAGTAAGGAGTGCAGGCTGTTCCTCTAATCTCTGTAGTGGGCAATGAGGGATAGAACTACAGAACAAGCTGGGAGGAGACACATAGTTCTGGGAGTTTTTAAAAGTGGCACCTCAAGGGCCCTCCCTGGTGGCACAAGGGGTTAACGCACAGCACAATAAAGCTAGTTGCAGTTTGCAGCTGCTTCAGCAGCAGTTTACCCCACCTTGGAAGTAATCAACATGGCTCAGCAGACCTCTCCTAATCCACCTGCTGCTCCCCTCAGCAGTGTACTTCATCAATCTGCCTGTACTGCTCCCCACTCTGTCTCTGGTGAATCCTCTCATGGCCCCTGCACCTCTGGCCTGTACCCCAGTTCTGTATGCATAAATAAATGGAGCTTAAAAAAAAAAAGTGGCATCTCATTTCCTTGTAGCAACTGAGGAAGATTTCTTGATTAACAGATTTAAAAATTAGAGACATAGTAGAACAAGTGCAAATGTGGAAAAGAATAGAGTGAGGAGGGTTTGTTGACAGAGCAAATTCTTAAAAGTTAGGAGGAAGGACTAGAAGTTGGGTCACATGAGAAGGGATTGTCTTGAGTCAGAGGGCTAAGAACCCAAGTTAAGGTGCTGACCATTGTATAAAAGTGAAGAATGATGTAAAATACATATGTAAAATGATGTAAAATATATATGTAAAAGATAAAGCTTACTTATACCTAAAGGGGAAAAAATACATGCACCCCTATCTTAACATGGAAAGCAGCTGCAAAAGTGTAGTGTTAGTAGTCTTTCTACCTCATTCCCACACCCTAGGAACAGAAGTGACTGTCAAAGTATGCACAGTTTCAGACACTCTGGCTACCATGTTCTCATCTTTCTACCTTATGCTGGGGAGTCTATGCTTTTCTGGAAACCTGGCTCCATTAATAGGTCCAAGGTAGATGAAACCTATAATGTCTGTATCCCCCTCTTCCCAGAAGGACACCACTAATAAGCCACCATTAATAAGCCAGCAATACCCCCCAGCTGGATGAGTGCTGACAGGTTCAACCAATCTCTCTTGAGAGAAGGGACACTCAGCTTTGTCTGTGGTCTTGTTTTATTATAATCATTTACTCTACTCATAGAAATCTGAGGGCTGGTCCTTCCCTGGTGGCACAACCTGTTCAAGCACAGCACTATGAAGCTATCTGCAGCCACTGCAACTCAAGTTCAATCCCCAGCCAGGGAACTGACCCACGTGGCGCGGCAGACCTCTCCTGACCCACCCGCTGCTCCCCTCAGCAGTGTATTTCAGTCAATTTGCCTGTTCTGCTCCCCACTTTGTTTCTGGTGAATCCTCTCACCCTCTGCACCTCTGGCCTACATCCCAGTTCTTGTGTGCATAAATAAATCTTAAAAAAAAAAATCTGAGGGCTATAGAACGCCTGGCTCAACAGCACCATCCATCTTCCAGTCACTTTGGTGTAACTGAACACCCACTCACTCCAACAATACAGGCCTAGCAATTATTTTCTAAGTATTTCTTCAAAGAGAAGCTATGAAATTATTTTGGCTTAACATGCTCTGATAGGGATTTCAAAACAAAAGATAACCTATGGCTATTTTAAGCTTCACAAATTTTGTTTTTCAGATGGCAGGTGCCTGTTACCCCTGCCTTCAAATCTTGCAAAATATTTCTGCATATTCCTGTTGGCTTACCAAGCTAGGCTAGCTATGTTGCGGACACCATCAACATTTTTACCTTGGAATAGAGATTAAAAGATACTGTTTTCTTACTAATATGGCTTTTATTCTTTTTACTCTTTTCATTTATGCATATAAGAACTGGGGTCTGTGGAGGGTGGGAGAATGTGAGGAAGGGTAAGAGGATTCACCAGAGAGACAAAAGTGGGAAGCAGAACAGGTAGATCTACTAAAATATACTTGATAAGGGGAATAGCAGGTAAGACAGGAGAGGTCTGCTGCACCATGTGGATCAGCTCCCTGGAGAGCCAACTCACGCTGCAGTGGCTGGCAATAGCCGGACAGTGCTAAGACTTTAACGCCCGCACCACCAGGGACGCCCTGATACCATTTTTTAAATATCTACACCATAGCTCAGACTGGGCAGTTGGGCTTGAGCTGAAACAAGACAGAGTGAAACCTGCAACTCAAGACCTAACCCTCTGGAGTTCCCACACTGCTTTGTGCTGGAGTGAGCTCCTTGAGAAGTTCCTTGGTCCAGAGGACACAGGCCTGGCCCAAAGAAGCCTCTGGAAAAGAACAAACTGGACACTGCTACATATTAACAACAGGGTCATTTTGCATTAATCTTAAGAGATAAAGATCTCTAATTGTTGCCAGGGTAAGGGATACTTTGTTTCTGCTCTCCGGAGTTCCTTACATAAGAATTAGACTTCAAACAACAAAATAGCTAGTCTCATGGGTTGTAAGAGTGTCTACATGCTGTGCCCAAGGGTATTACCTTTCTCAGTGCCCCCCCCCCAACTAAAATGAATTTAAATTGCCAGCACACCATTTTCTTCTTTTAGAAGCAGACTACACAAAGGAGGAGGCCACAGTCCAAACTGATTTTGAAGAGTTAAACTCAGAAGGGAAAGGAAGTGCACGTCAGGTTTTACTGTTACCCAATAACCCCCTAACCTAGTCCTTCATCTCCAAATCCAGGTGGAAGGTAAATTTAGGATGTAAGCTGAGGCGTTAGCTACAGGGACATTCATAAAACATGTTGGCAGGTGCTCTGCCAGGCAATCTATAATTAGTGAGGGTGCCTCAGAAGCTTAAAGTGAACTCAGAAGGTTTCAGAAATCAACAGCCAGCCCCTGGGCACTGAGCCGGCTAGCCACAGGGCTGCTGCCGCACAGAAGACGTGCTGGGTGCCGGCCAGGATGCACACGTGTGTGCAGGCACATGCCAGTCCTGAAGAGTCTCTTTTTTCAAAGCTCTAATGGCTTGACCTCAACACCTGCTGCACTTCCTGAAGACGACAGGCTCTGGAGCTCCACTTGTTCCTCGCACGCGGCTGCACTTTCTAGGAACGACCGCACACACGCAGAGGCTGGCCAGCTGCCAAGGCGGGGGCAGCCCGGCCGCCTGCCTCGGGCCTGAACTTTCCCAGTGCTGTCAGGGCGGGATCCCACTCTGAGCTGACTCAGCGGCCTGCGTGGAACTCTGCCAATCACACAGCAGTGCGGGGGCTGCCGGCTGTTCACAGATGTTTTGCTAAACCAGAGCAATCAGCAGGGAGGCGGGACTGGGCTGGAAGCCAGGCTGCTGCTGTCGTGGAAGTTGGGATCTCTGATCCTAGTCCTAGCTCTGCTATAACCTCCCTGGAGATCTGAGGGAAGCCTGCATGCATGTTAGCATCTTCCTGCTTCAGAACACATCTGTGTGGATGCAGCGCGGGGAAATGGAAGTGTCTGCACAAAGAACACCTGGAGCACTACTGCTGCCCTCGTGCTAGCTCAGTTAATCCTCACAACATGCCAGGGAGGTGCACTTCATGAGTCTCATTTCACAGAGGAGCTGAAACGGGCTCAGAGAATTAAGAGTCCCGTGAGAAAATCACAAGGGTAGTGAATGGAAGAGATGGGATTTGAATCCCACTTTGCCAGCTCTGGAATGGACCACAAACAAGTGCCTTTGAAAACTCAGATCAACTGCATGGGGCTCCTTGACACAAAGAAGCTGATTTTTCAGGTTCCAAAGGACCTTTCTTAGAAGACTTCTCTGCTGCCCTGTGTTAAAGCCACAACTCTTCACAACTGATTTCTAAACAGCACAACTGATTTCTAAACAGCACCGTTGAACCACATGAAAAGTGTGTGCTTATAGGGAGTACCCAGATGTAACAGCTCTGTCATAAATTCCACACCTAAGCAACAAGTCTCTTAACCTGGAACAACTTATCACTCTCATTCTTTTGTGAGGAAAAGCTGCTTTGTGGGCTGGAAAGAGAAATCAGAAGCCAAAGGCTCAGCTGAGAACAGATTCCTTAGGCTCCCACACCTGAGAGAACTCATTAGGACTAGGGATCTGTCATTTTAAGTTACCCGGTGACTCTGATACTTGGGCATATTTGGGAGTCACTTAAACTTGCCATCACTAAAAGAGCAAGTCTGAGGTCTACCCTTCCCTGTTTCAAAAGGGGTGATGTAAGGGTGAAATGAAATCATGGCCTTTGATAGAAAATATACACAATACATGCACTTCGTAGCATTTTTGTTTAGCCGCAAGATAGCACCCCGTCCTTAAAGAGCATGACCCTGGGTTACGCTAGAACAAAGAAACTGTTCCAGGCAAGATTACTGTTTCGTGTTACTACTAGGAAAACTGTAATTAGAGCCACACATCTCCTGTTTAGATGCTCTGACGACACTGATGTTAACTCAGCTTTCCTTAAACAGACTAGACTGTACTGACATTCTTTTATATCACATGTGAAACAACCTATATTACAAGTAACTTACATATTTCATTGTGAAGAAGAAAGTCTATTTCTAGACCACAGATCATCAAAACGGGGTGAGAAGGCAGACTGGCAGTGTCCCTGGCCTGGTCATCCAGCACCCCACTCCAACTAGGCTTTGGAAACACCCACTGACTCCCACTCCGCAAACACTGACCTGTTTGAGTCGCTCGTCCAGATTCCAGCTGGGCTGCCCACCTGAGGAGACGGAAGGTGGGGCCTTGGAAGCATCTTTGGTATGGTCTTCTTTAGCTTGCTGTCCATGCGGTGGGAGACCTGATGCTGGGAGCAGACCAGATATGGGGGCTGCTCTGGGGTCTTGGCGAACCACTTTCTGCATATGAAAATACTTTGAAGCAGCCTGGCCCTCCTTCTCAGACACTTCTTCAACATCATCATCATCATCATCCCCCTCCTCGTCTTCTAAACCTCCTTCCTCTTCTTCAGGCTCTGAGTTCACATTGCTCCGCTCAAAAACTCGGGCAGGTGTAACTCGGGTTGCAGGACCCAGGGCAGGGCTCCCTGAAGGCCTGCCAGGTGTGGCAGAGAGAAGAGTCTGCTGTGTGACCAGCTTCTGGGCATATAAGAACTGGGCCTCTCTCATCTGCTGTCCCTGCTTCTCTCTGGCATCCATCTGCAGAGGAGCCAGGTGCGGTGGCTGCTGTGCTGGTGGCTGCTGTGGCTGCTGCTGCTGCTGCTGCTGCTGTGGCTGCTGCTGCTTCTGTGGCTGCACTGGCTCCATCACTGCCTCAAGGTTCACCCACCAATTGGCATGGTTCTGAATCTGGGCACAGCCCAGCAGGCACACTGGGTCTAAATTCTATTAAGAGGTTAATAGAAATCACAAAAAAGAAAAAAAGGGGAGGGGAATTATGTAAAACAGATATAAAAAGGTATTGTTTCTTTAGCAAAGGGCAGGAGTTCTGCACACCAAACCTCTGCTCTTACACCTGAATTTTAAGATGAGGAGTGCTGGGAGTTTTGGGGTGGGGGTGGTTAGGAGAGTAAGGAGTGTGAGGAAGAGGAACAGGATTTAAGGGGTAAATTTGAGATTAATATCAGTAGTAGTAGACTGCAGATGAAGTAACTCTAGACACTAGTATGCAAACATCTATATTCTGACCTCTCTACCTCAATATTAGCAAATGTTAATCTGTTTATTACCAAAAAGGCAACTGGGTTTTCACTGTACAAACACTGTAAGTATGAAAACCACAATAATAAAAGGAAAGAAAGGCCTGCCACCAGAAGAGCGACTGCTACTTATGTTCCAGGGCCATCAGAGAGCGAGAGAACACCATCTTAGACACAGAGCTCTCAGGCAGAGTGACGTCTCTTAGAAAAGCAGAACCTAGCAAGCTGCTCTTGGGCTTAAACTTTTCAAATTTCCTAGGTCAAATTGCCAGTCTTCTCTGAAGTGGGCTGAGCCATGCAAACTGGACATTACAGCCTCAAGAAGAATCCTATTTCAACAACATGAAAGAAACACATAAGGAAGCAAGAGCTTCAAATTGCAATCGTCACTCAAAAACAAATGGGGAATTCCTCAGAAGATCTTAAAATGAATTAATTTAAAACCAAATATCAACATTGTCCAAATGAGTTAATGCCTTTTTTATAAACAGACAAGTAATTCTCTTCGTATACCCTTTCTTTCTGATTCACTTCTACAATAATATTCTATGTGAAATAAAGAAAAGGCTTTCAGGTTAAAAGTATTCTAGGGGCAGGTTTATCAGCATTCTTACCAATCAGTCTCCAAACACACACACCCCCTTTCACACCCTCTCCTCTCTTAACCCCCTTCTCTTCCTCCTTTCTTGATTCCCCACCCCCAACAAACCTCAAGATCCATAACTGAATGAATTACCATGGTAGGGCAAATTTTAGGGAAACAGGACTTACAACATGGTGTAAATGCTGTCATTACATGGCACAGGTTAGGACTTGATATTTATATTGTTCTCTGTGTTAGGATCGGGAAGATCAGGGTAAAAAAAAAAAAACAAACAAAATGAAAAACCCAAATGTCTTTACCATCTTGGAAAATTAATGGAAAAGTAATTACATTCCCAGCAATAACATCTACTTGGATTTATGACTTTTTAAATGGGTTAGAGAAAAAAGGTACAATGTTGTAAAAGGCGGCAAAAAAGTAAAGATAATAAATTCTCACTTTGTATCTTCTAAACACTGCTTTTGCCTTTTGTATTTTGTGAAAGATTCAAATTCCAATTTGTCTCTTACTGCTTGTCTTCGTGTATTTTATAAAGTATGAGTTTTGCCAGCAGTACTTTCTACTTTAGCCCTTATTGTAACAAAGCATAAGAGGATCTTTACATGAAGGTTTTAAATTGAGTTGGAAAGTGTTCGCTTAAAATAAAACCGACCTGGGCCAAATAAAATGAAACAAAAGAATAAAGCAAATAATTCGAAGGACGTTTTAATTTTTCTTACAATCCTAACAGTCAATCAGTCACAACTGGAATAAATTTTCAACTAGATTCTGCCAGTCAATGAACAACTGCTTCTTGTCTTGTGGCACCATCTTCTCGGTACGTTGTCCCCAGCAGAGGGGGGAGGTGTCTCTCAGCCTCTTCAGTGAGATTGAGATGACTCAGTTCTACAGCTCAATACGCACACCCTCCCCCAAAGAGCCCATCTCTCCCGAGTCCCTAAACAGCCAGTCGGGCCAAACAACAATACCACCTGCCCACATTTAGAAAACTCTACCTAGAAATCTAAACCACTTCATCCCTTCACATAGTTTTTCCCCCCACCCCCATCCCATTTTCCCTAAAGTTCGGGACCACCAAACACGGCGCAACGAACTCCCTGCAGCTCTGAACCCTCTCTGGTTCACCATTCCCTCAACCTTGTCTGAGCCCTCTGGCCCGGGTGCCCACAGCTCCCACCCCAGTTACTACAGCACCCCCTCCCTATCCATTCTTTAACCTCTCCCCCACCCCCCGCAAGCCAACCGGGTCACTTTTACCTCTACCAAGCCCTCCCAGCCAATCCGCTGGCTCTTCTCCGATCACCGGAACCCCACCTATCCTCACCCTCTCAGTTCCAAGGGGCCCCTACTCTTCCCATCCCTTTATCTCAAATCGCCCTAAAGGGCGCAAGGCGCCACCGGACTCCTCCCAGAGCTCTCACTTTCCCTCTGCGGCCCCAGCGGTCCCACGGCGCGCGCCTTCTCGTCCGCCCCTCCACACCTGCCTCCCTTCGCACGCCTTGATGCCCCTCCACCTGCCGCAGCCCCGGTCCCGCCGCCGCCGAGACGCCGGACTCCGCGCGGCATACCTGTGCGGGGCGCTTGGGGTCAGCGGGCGGCAGAGGAGACAGCCGCTCAGGCCCCGGCGCGGCAGCTGAGACGCCGACTCCTCCGCAGCCGGGGGCCACAGCCGGGGCGGGGCCCACACCGGAAGCGGCGCCGCGGGGCCGGGCTGCCGGCCCGGGGCGGGGCGGGGCGGGGCGATGAGTAGGCGGGGCCAGTGACCGGAAGTGGTCCAAAAGGGGGCGAGGGGCGGAGCTAGGCGGAAGTGCTGAGAGAGACGGCCCTCCGGCTCTCCTTCGCGAGCGGAAACGGAGTGAGGTGATTACAAGCTCCAGCCAATGAGAAAGCGTGGGCTTGGAGGAGTTCCGGTGTAAGCTTTTACGCGGTGAGTTGAAAAGAGCCGGAGTCGATGTGGTCTTACTAGGCTTATTGGTGGCTGACGCTGGTGTGCTGCCGTGTATAGGCTGGACGGTAAGTACCTAAAGGACCGGGTTTCTGGTGTTTTGGGCCCCTCCCCAGCCTCCTACCTTCTCCCTCTAAGATTCCCGCTTCCAAATCGGCTTTCTCTGAACTTCCCCACTCCTTGGAGTCCCCTTGGCTGTTCTTCGCGGATGCTACATCCTTTGGGACCCCCTCACTTAAGTTAGTATTGTCACTCCCCAGATTCCAAAATGGGGGCGCTACGTGGCTAACGTTGTCGTTTCTAGTAAAATCCCTTGCTTCTTAAAAGTTTAGACTTTGTCATATGTTTGACTGCCACTTTGAAGATCATCTACTTGTGCATCCAGCCACCTGTCAAACATTTTCCCCTTTAACCGTCTTTCATCTGGATAATTTCAGAGTCAACGTTGACAAATCGTTTAACATCCGAACTTCAAAGCCGGTGAGCTTTATTTACATCAACCTCTAATCCGTCAAAATCTGCACGTTGTAGCCAGAAGCGCTTTTGTGTCCAGATTCGGTAATTCAAACATTTCTCTGTCCAGCTATCCTTAGAACCTGACCACTCAAGATTTTGCTATAACTGTTCTTTCACTTTATCAGAACCTCCAATCTCTTAAAAGCTTCAACTTAATCCTCTCACTCCTCTCTGTAACCATCTTGGATCTAACAAATTCATCATTATTTTCCCCTTACTTACTCTGAAATCTCTCCTAACACTTTTTCCCCCCAGCTAATTCCTTCATTCCTGGATAGATCAACATTCTTCTCCACGGCCTGTGCCCTGTCATAGAAAATTGTCCTGCTGAGCAGGTTGGCATCACTAATAATTTCAGCTTTAAGTGGACTCTGCACAGTGCCTAGAAGTTTCATTATATTTTCCTAGTTAATTTGTTTTTCATTATCTCTGCAGTTCTCTATCCCTATACTTCCTGAGCCTCTTCCCCAATGGTCTAATTGTATAAGTAATGAAAAATGTAGAATGCCCTAAAATCAAGAAATCTACATGTATTTCTGTCTTATTCTTTCTACCTATAATTTATTCAATCAAAAATAGTTATTTTACTCCCACTAGGTGCCCGTGGGTGGGGAGATTAAAAAAAAATGTATGCCCTCATGAGTGTGTATGCATATGAGGAGATAAATGCTATGAAGACCAAATCAGGGTAAGGGTTAGACAGTGATGCAGGTAGCTGTTATTTTAGATGTTAGTCAAAAAAGGACTTATTGGGACACTTAAACAGAAAATGGATTGACCTGATTGAGGTGAGAATGTAAATATCTAGGGAGAGAGTGTTCCAGAGAGGGGAGACAGTAAATTCAAGTGCTCTGAGGTAGGAGCATTCTTGATATGTTATAGAAATAGCCAGGAGGTCACAATGGCTGATACACAGTGAATGAGGGAGAATGTGGTAAGAGATGAGATCAGAGAAGTAGCCAGGGGCCCGTTCATGCAGGACCTTCCTTGCTGGTCACAAATTTGGATTGCTACCACTGAAATTACTGGAAATTTTTGAGTAGAAGAGTAACTTGATCAGATTTAAGTCTCTGAAAGGACACTACACGATAAGGGTGGAGGGGTAAGGGTAGAAGCATTATTCCTAGCAGAAGATGCTGACTTTTGAAGCAGTGGAGGTATGGTTAGATCCCAGATATATTTTGAAGTAATGCTACAAGGATTTACTAATGGACTGGTTAAGAAAAGAGATAAGGATGAGGCCAAGGTTTTAGTCCCAAGTATATAACAGAATCGTGATATTTACTGACCTGAGGAACACTAACAGAAGCTGGGATAAAAGGGAATGAATTAATTTTTTCACATTATATTTATTGAGCTAAAGTAGGTTTACATTTTTAATATCCGGCCTATCATTTGTACCCCAGTAATCTTCTACCATGTTCCATTAGGCCACTACCCTCTCACTATCCTCCCTCTCTGGTTGCCTCAGTTTGTTTGTCTTTTGTTTTGTTTTTTTTCTGAAGAATGTCTTTTTTTTTTAATATTTATTTATTTATTCGTACAGAACTGGGATACAGGCCAGAGATGTGGAGGGTGAGAGGATTCACTAGAGAGAGCCGGGAGCAGGACAGGCAGATCGAAGAAGTACACTGCTGAGGGCAGCAGCGGGCGGGTCAGGAGAGGTCTGCCGAGCCATGTGGATCTCCTCCAGGGCAAGCGGGGATCGAACTCATGTTCATGCGGAAGTGACTTAAGCTTCTTTGTGCTGTGCTTTAACCCACTGCCCCACCAGGGAGGGCCCAGAATGTCTTTTTTTAATGGAGGTGTTGACTATATCTTATGGAAAATTTGTTTAAGTTGTCTTACTCTTTTTATTGGTACTTCATTACAGGCTCTACTTCTGTGAGATAGCTTCATTTTACCTCGGCGATTGTAGTTATTAGTGATATCATATGGTGAATCAGGAAATTCCAAATATATGGACAGGAAGTAATGATTTTAATGAGTCATTAAAAGATCTGTATTTTTTGTTTTGACTTGCAAGCTTGTAACTCCAAAAGCTATTCATGTACATGATTTTGTCTGGCATTAGGATAATCTTCTGAGTGGATAATACTCATGGCTCAGTTATGGCTTTGAAGAGTCAGGCTTCCAACTTCAACTTTGGTTCCCTCAAATCTAACCAGTCAATAGGGAAAGTGGCCCACGTTATCTTCTGTGTCATCATCTTATGTGTACTTGTGAGTACATGTACCACATTTTTCTCATCCAATTTTCTGTCCTTGGGCACTTAGGTTGTTTGCTAAACTTTGCTATTGTAGATAGTGCTGCATTGAACATAGAAGTGTGAGTGTGTGTGTGTATGTTCCTTTTAATTATTGTCTTTGTATGCTTGGGGTAGATACACAGAAGTGCACTTGTTGGGTCATATGGTAGATCCACTTTTAATATTTTGAGAAACCTCCATAGGGAGGGGTCCTTTTTCTTCATGCCCGCACCATTTGTTGTTTCTGGTCTATTTGATGCGGGCCATCCTCATGAGTGTTGAGATGGCATCTCGTTGTGGTTTTGCTTTGCATTTCCCTGATGAGGAGTGATGATGAACATTTTTTCATCTGTCTATTGGCCACCTATATTTATCTCTTTTACCCACTTTCTGATTGGGTTGTTTTTATTGAGTTGCATGAGTTTTTTTTACATATTTTGGATATCAATCCTTGATCAGCTGTGCAAATATTTTCTCACATTCAGTAGGGTCAGGAAAGAACTATTGATATATCCAGCTTAGTATTATAAGAACATAACAATGAAGGTATTTTGCTGAGTGAAAGAAACTGGCCTCAAAATGACACTTTTGAAAAGATTAAAACTGTGAATGAGTAGGTGGTTTCCAGGAGTGGCGGAGTGACTCTCAAGGGTTAGCAAAAAGGAGGGTTTTGGGGGTGATGGAATTATCTTGTATCCTGATTGTGGTGGTAGTTACATAAAGCTATACATGTGTTAAAATTAAGAATTGCACAACAAAAATACTGTTAATTTTACTTATGATATCTGTCTATCCATTTAATTTCTACGTGTATGTGTGTATATATAGTATTTGCGGTACATGTTTTACATTTCCTTTTTGAATTCTCAGGGATTTTCCTTTATTTTATTTTATTTTTTAAAGATGTATTTATTTTTGCATATAGAAATGGGATACAGGCTAGAGGTGCAGGGGCAGTGAAAGGATTCACAAGAAACAGAGTGGGAAGCAAAACAGGCAAATCTACTGAGATACACTGAGGGAAGCAGCAGGCAAGACAGAAGTCTGCCGTGCCATGTGGGTCACCTCCCGGGCTGGGTATTATCTCACAGAAACAGCTGTTGATAACTTCATAGTGCTGTGCTTTAACTGGTTGCACCACCAGGAAGGGCCCTCAGGGCTTTCTCTTTAACCTATTGCAATATTAAATCCTTCCATCAATTTTCCAAAAGCTCTAGTGTTAATAATCTCTTGCTTGGAAAAGAAAAGAGAAAACCTTTCCCTTGACCCCATAGTCTGATTAAAGTCTTATCTCTCTCTTCCCCTTTCTGGCAATGCTCCTATAGTTAATGTCCTCATTGTAAGTAACCTTACCAGTTTCTTAAAATGTTCGCTCCCCAGATGGCCAACAAGCATATGAAAAAATGTTCAACATCACTTGTAATAAGGGAGATGCAAATTAAAAGCACAATGAAATACCAACTCACCCCAGTGAGAATGGCACATCTTCAAACAACTAGCAACAACAAATGTTGGTGAGGATGTGGAGAAAAAGGAACTCTCCTGCACTGCTGGTGGGAATGCAAACTAGTACAACCACTATGGAAAACTGTTTGGAGGTTCCTCAAACTGCTAAACATGGAGCTTCCCTACGACCCAGCAATCCCACTCCTAGGTATCTACCCAAAAGACACAAAAACACTGATTGAAAAAGATACTTGTACCCCCATGTTTATTGCTGCTTTATTTACAATTGGAAAAACATGGAAGCAGCCCAAATGCCCAAAAGTAGATGACTGGATTAGAAAGATGTGGTACATATATACAATGGAATATTACTCAGCAACCAAAAAAGAGAAACACATGTCTTTTGCAGCAACTTGGATGGAGCTGGAAAAGATCATGCTTAGTGAGATAAGCCAGAAAGAGAAAGAAAAATACCGGATGGTTTCACTCATAGCAGGAGTATAATGGACCAGGAGAGAAAATAACAAAAATAATGAACAACCATATACCAGAGACATTTTGCAGGGGTGGAGTGGGGAATGGGATCAAAAACGGGGGCGGGGGGGAGTGCACGGGATTATGGTGATGGCACACAGGTGACTCGGTGATGGGTAACCCGCGGGGATTACAATTGAGATGGGGGAAAAAATGTACAAAATGGGCCCTCCCTGTTGGCGCAGCGGGTTAAAGCACAGCACTGAGAATCTGAAGCCACTTCCGCATGAGTTCGATTCCCGCCTGCCCCGGAGGTGACCACATGGTGTGGCAGACCTCTCCTGACCCGCCCACTGCTTCCCTCAGCAGTGTACTTCGTAGATCTGCCTGTTCTGCTCCCCACTCTGTCTCTGGTGAAGCCTCTCACCGCCCCTGAGCCTCTGGCCTGTACCCCAGTTCTGTATGCACAAATAAATAAATAAATTTTTAAAAAAATGTACAAAATGATGTAAAAATAAACTTATTAAAAAAAAAAGAAAAACCACATTCTGGAACAAACATTCCTTATTAAAGAAAACACTTCACTGTTTTTAAAAAAAAAAATGTTGTGCTCCCCATTCCTCTGGGCATCAAGGCCTTAATTCCTTAATGTGGCCTACAGAACCCTAGGCAGAGGTAATTTCTGCCTGTTTCTTTGACTTTATTTGTATATCTCAGGTGTAGCAGAAGACTCAAAAAGGCAGCCCAGCTAGATGGTCTCAGCGGTTGAAAATAATCCCACCCCCCATCAATCATAGAAAAGTGGTTAAACCCTGACTGACAAATAGATAGATCAATGTCTATCTCTATATCCTGGTTACAAGGACTATCATGTACACTCTCACTTAGGCTTCCAAGATGTGGTAGATTGAACAGAAGAGCTGCAGTGTTTTTCAGCTTCTGTCATCAAGAAGGGGGCTCTATTTCTCCATTCTCTGAGTCTGTGACAAAACCATGTGACTCACTTTATTCTATGGGACAGTGGCAAAAAACACAAGGAGAGTCTTTAAATGTGCTTACAAATATGTAAGCTTGCTTGCTCTCTCTTGGTATTAGTAACTTTCCCACAACCTTGAGAATAGCTCTGGCTTGATTGATGATGGAGGATGAGAGGCATGTGGTCATCATCCCATCTGGTGTCTAACCTACTGCCAGGTATAAGTTTAGCCCTTTGTACCAACTGGTTCGCCAACCCCCACAGTGAGCCAGGCCCACTGGCCATCTAGGCCCAGTGTGCTGGCCTAGACCAGAAGAATCCTCCCAACAAACCCAGACCATTGGTTGTTCTGAAGTTACACCAGTAAGTTTAGAAATGATTTGTTTTGTGATAAAAGATAACTGGTACCCAGGCCTTCCCTGGTGGCGCAGTGGGTTAAAGCAAAACACTATGAAGCTACCAGTCACTGTAGCATGAGTTCAGTCCCCAGCCAGGGAGCAGCAGACCTCTCCTGACCCACCTGCTGCTCCCCTCAGCAGTGTATTCCACTTAATCTACCTGTTCTGCTCCCCATTCTTATCTCTGGTGAATACTCCCCCACACCTCTGGCCTGTACCCAAGTTCTGTATGCATAAATAAATAAAACTTAAAAAAAAAAAAAGATAACTGATACCCAAGATACTACTTTGTATCACTCAGACTAGATCTGGCTGGGGGTACTTCTTGGAGCTGCTTCTGAATACCTTAGAGAAGAGAGGCACATTGCGTGTTCTTCCCAGTGGTGGCTTGTTCTCCCATCAGATTTCTCTTAGATGAAGGGAAAATCTTAAATAGCATGTCTTTCGTATTTCAACTTATTCAGTAAAGGTGAGTTCATTTGCTGCTTTCATTGCTATTATTACTCTTTTTTTTCTTTTTAAAATTTATTTACTTATGCATACAAACCAGAGATGGGGGTGGTGAGAGGGCCCACCAGAGACAGTGGGAAGCAGAACAGGCAGATGGAGTGAAACACTGCTGAGGGGAGCAGCAGGCAGGATTTGAGGTCAGCTGCGCCATGTGGGTCACTTTCCTGGCCTGGGATCAAACTCATGCTGCAGTGGCTGCAGATAGCTTCATAGTGCTGAGACTTAACTCCTGCACCACTAGGGAGGCCTTTTACTCTTACTTTAAATAAAGCTTCAATGGTAAAGTTATTGGGTATCTTTACTATGTATGTTTTGTTATCACTTTAATCTCAGATGTACAGGTTATTAAAGATACATTAAAAGCAACAGGTAAATGGACATATTATAGACTAATAATTAGTCATAACAAATAAGTGGAATTTTAGTTTGTGTTTATGATATCCAATCATAAGTATTGGTCTAACTGTGTCTCCATCTTAGTAATTTAATAAGACTTAGTTTTTTGACATTGAATGGGTATCAATTTTGGATCTGGGGAACATGTGAACTGTGTTCCCATTTAAATCAATAGTGATTTCGCCCTCCCGGTGGTGCAACAGGTTAAAGCACAGCACTGTGACGCTCTCTGCAGCCATTGCAGCAAGAGTTCAATTCCCAGCCTGAGAGGTGACCCACATGGTGTGGCAGACCTCTCCTCTCTCGCCCACTGCTCCCCTCAGCAAAGTGTTTCAGTCTGTCTGCCTGTTCTCTCTGCTCTGTCTCTTGTGAGTCCTTTCTCCACCACCTCAACCTCTGGCCTGTACCCTAGTTCTTGTGTGCATAAATAAATAAATCTTTTTTTTTTAAAGATTTATTTATTTGTGCATACAGAACTGGGGTACAGGCCAGAGGCTCAGGGGTGGTGAGAGGCTTCACCAGAGACAGAGTGGGGAACAGAACAGGCAGATCGACGAAGTACACTGCTGAGGGGAGCAGCGGGCAGGTCAGGAGAGGTCTGCCTCGCCATGTCACCTCCGGGGCAGGCGGGTATCGAACTCATGAGGAAGCGGCTTTAGATTCTCAGTGTTGTGCTTTAACCCGCTGCGCCACCAGGGAGGGCCATAAATAAATCTTTTTTTTTAAAAAAAGAAATCAATTGTGAATATACTTTTCAATTTACATTGACACCCTAGTAGGTTTTTCAGCATTGCACCCTGATTAATAAGACTGAATGAAGAGTCTTGCTGTTATTGAATGTTTTACTAAGATAAAAAATTAAAATATAACTGGAAAATTAAGATTTCTTGTTCTGAGTACAAGGGGTAGCCTCAAGAGCTGTAAAGCCTCTGCTGAATGGAAGGTATTAACAGGTGTAAAGAAAGAATGTGACAGTCCAAGGGAACCTGAAAGGAGGTGTTTAGAGTCCACACTCTGCTGAGAGCCCTCCCTGTTGAGGTGGTGTGGAATTGTCTGTAGGGCAATTGAGCTTCCAGTGTGTGTACCCTGGAGGGAGGATGATGAGCACATCAGGCTGATGCTGGGTCCTTTCTTTCACTGAACTGTTCATATTTTAAATCAGACAGTTGGTCTTCCCCATGTCTGATATCTTGAGTTCTGTGACAGGTCAGCTTCCACTAGTCAGTCTATCCTTGGGAACTGCCAAAACCTAGTTACTAAGGCCCAAAGCTAAATGTTGAGGACTTCTTCAAAGCAATAAAGTCTCCAGCATTTCCTGCAGGTAGTTGTTCTCATGCCATATTTCAACCCACTCTCATCCAGTCCTTTCCAATCCCGAGACAGATTTGTCACCATTGTGATGAACGGCCATGACTATGTACTTTCCCTCACCCGAGAACAGAAGAGGTCAGGTCTCTAAGGAAAGTAAAAGGGCCAACCCCAAGTGACTCATCTTTGTAAACACTGAATTAGTTCACTCTCTTTGATATTCACTGAAAACTGTCTTTGCAAATTTCCTTGCAGATTTCTGCGGTGACCCCACACACTTAGCAGCCCCACAGACTGCCAGAGCAAAAGGAACAGGAGGCAGCTCAAGCCATCTGTCCTAAAATAAGACATCTGGTCACAAGGCTGTGCCTCCGGTCAGGGCTCTTTGGGAACCATCTGGCCCCCCCATCCAACAGAACTGTTGCAAGTAAGACATCGTCAGGCACTGGTGATACTAAAAGAAGAGAGTGCCTAAGCTGAAGTCTGCCTGGTGGCAACTTTGGGTGTCCAGAAGAATCATGGAACCAAACAATTCCTATAAATATGTCCCAGGATACCTATCCGGGGCTCAACAGCCATCAAAAATCTTTATTTTCAAGCATCGAGTATTGAGTTATCATGGACAGTAACATAGATTGTATATTTTCAAGTTGGCCAGGACCTTAACTCTGATTTTTTTTTTTTTTTTTTTTTTTGCCAAATTCAGTTACATTCTATCAGGCACGTGTTTTGGAAACAGGAACTCAAGAGGATACAAGGTGATATCCTGGAGAGACTTTAACAGAAAAGAAATTTCATTTCCCAGATATACAAATTAGAGAAGTCCAGATGTGGGCTGGGTAGGTGGGGTACATTTGAATTTGTTAGGTTTAAGGTGCTTAAGCCCCTGGCTCATCCTGTGTCTGTTGCCATACAGCTATGTGCCTGTTAGGCCCTCAAAGCTATTTTGTCCCCAAAGATTAGCTAACAGAAGTTAAGTATAGAATACTGGAGGTTTCTGATATTTTATTAAGGTGAAATATATTCATTGTCAGAAAGGCTGAAAAGGTCTGTATACCAGACCTTTAGAGATTTAAAGAAGGAACACATGTTGAATGTTTTGATTCAAGTCAGTCATAACAGTTGTTAACCTTGCTGCAACATCCGGGACTAACAGATGACCTTACTTGAACATCTAATTCTGAAACTTCATCTTTAAAAACTGAACTAGGTTTCCAGTTTCTGCAACCAAAGTAAAAGTCTGATTTTATTATGCTATCACTGTTCTGAGATTATGTTAGAAGACAATAGGGTGGTATTGTACCAGGGTGATCCCCAGGGAAAGGGAGGTTCTAGGCTCCATACCCCACCATCAGGAAGGTAGAGCTGGGCAGGGAGGAGAAGCTAGAGGAGATGAGGAGGAAGGGGAGCAGGAAAGAGACCTAGAGGAGGCACATGGAGCAGAGAGACAGGTGGAGAAGCTGCGCCTGCTTCTCAGCCGTGGACTTGTACCAGGGACTTGGGGGAAGGAGACACTTGGGAGAGACAGAAATGTGGGTGAGAGACACGTGGAGAGGCTGATAGGGGCAGCCTTTATCTTGACTTGGATTTGGTTTTTGCACTCTTCCTACAGACGTTCCTGGCTCATAATGCCCTTTTATGTTTCCTTTCCAGGAGGTACTTTAGACTGTAACAGGCTTTTGAACCTCAGCAGTCCTGCTTTGGCCCACCCCTGTTTGGCTGGGCATTTACCCACCAGCAGAGGGGCAGTTTTGGTTATTTAATTGGAAAGTATTCCGGTTATCTATATTTTTTTATTATATTTAAGTCCTTTTCTAATAAAAGACTTTCCTGTACACCAATTGTATCAGAGTTCTTTTCTAGTAAAGGTCTTACACACAAGAGTTTGTTTTTTCTTGATACAACAGAAGGCAAAACCCATTTAGAGCAGGCAAATATGGGGGCTCTAGAGTGCCTCTCCCTCTGCCCTGTAACAGTTATAAACTAACTGATCTAATAGTAATATGCTCCTGACCAATTCCCTTCCAAGTCTCTCCCCTCCAGCACCAAGAAAAAAAAAAAAAAAAGACAGAATACTTAGCTTAACACTGTGATCATCAAGCAACCAGTCATTTCCTAATATGGACAGTTCACCCTCCAGCTGCACTTCTGGAATTCAAGTGCTAGGAGAATGGCATTTACATTTGTGTATGTTTTCTATAACTCCTCCTTACTCCTCAGCTGTAAAACCTCTGTGGTGTTTGCTTTAACATGAATTATAGCATCTGCAGCGACCTACAGTTCGGGATTAGCCCTGACAAAATGCAGTGTTAACTAATAGTTTGGTATAAAGTTCAAATGAACAATCATGAGATTGGAGGATTCTCCCTGTCAGAAATGAATAATTCCCCCCAAATTGTTATAACAGAAAGAGTGAGAAAGAGTGAAGTCAATGCATTTCTATGTCAATGCATTGACATAGGAAGATGTCTGGTAGAATTTAAGAAGAAATTACCAAGCTTAAGAAAAGCTTAATTCATTTTGGAAAAAAAAAAAAAAAAACTTGGGCCTTCCTGGTAGCACAAGGGTTTAAGTCTCAGCACTATGAAGGGAAGGTAGCAGACCCACAAGGCACAGCAGACCTCTCCTGGTAGTGGAAGAGTTAATCAAGCTGGGCTATCAAGCTGTCCACAGCCACTGAAGGACAGAGCTGGCCAAGTGCTAACCCACATGGCAGAGAGACCTCTCCAGTCTTTGCTGCTCCCCTCAGCAGTGTATTCCAGTAGATCTGCCTGTCCTGCTCCCCACTCTGTCTCTGGTGAATCCTCTCACCCCCTGCACATCTGGCCTGTACCCCAGCTCTTGTATGCATAAATAAATCTTAAAACAAGCAAAAGACAAAACAAAGGAAAATACAAGGAAGTTTGTGATGTGCTGACATGGAATACTGCTGGAGAGATCAAATGAAAAAAAAAGCAAGGCTCATTACAGGGTGTTCAGCATGTTCCTCAATAATTATGCTTAAAAGGGTAAACATATATAATCATCATGTTGAACAAACATGACTCATGGGACCTGTGAATCAGTTAATGGAGGCAAAAGTGCTGCAACAAATAGATCCAGGACACGACTCAGCAAAATAGTTTCTTCCTTGCTCACCTAACAGCCCCGGACAGAGTGAGGTCAGGGGAGTGACTCCCCTCACGATTGTCATTCAGGGTCCTGGGCTCCTGTCCTGTAGTTCTACTGTTGTAGTTCTACTGTTCCCTTGGTCAGAAGACAATACACGTTGCAACCAGTCACCTTACTTTGGAGAATACATTGTTATGTGATCACACCTAAATGGACAGGACTTCTAGCCCTGTGCCTAAAGAGAATGCCTGATTGTGACAAGAGATCTCTGTCACAATCAGTTCCTTGGTCACCAAACATATCCTCCCCCAAAGAATGATGGCAAAAAAAATCTCATCCAGTTATAGAATTCCTATCAAATTGGCATTGCAGTCTTACTAAAGTTGCTTGAACCTGTGAACTAAAAGTCAGTGGTTGCCACTACACCCCTCACCCCCAGAACCCACCCATACAATATACAGGGATAGAGGGGACAGGAAAACCAATTTAAAAAATCCATTTTGAAAAAGAATAGAGGAGCCTCCCTGGTAGCACAAGGGGTTAAGTCGCAGCACTATGAAGCTATCAGCAGCCACTGCAGCACAAGTTCTATCCCCAACGGGCTGGGGAGCTGGCCCACATGGCACAGCAGACCTCTCCATTCCCATCCACTGCTCCCCTCAGCAGTGTACTTCGTTGATCTGCCTGTTCTGCTCCCCAGTGTCTCTGGTGAACACTCTTGCCGCCTCTGCATCTCTGGCCTGTACCCCAGTTCTGTATGCATAAATAAATAAAATCTTTGAAAAGAAAAGAGAATGACAAGCGCAAATGATTTATGTCCAAAGCAATTATGGAATACTGCTGGGGGATGTACATCCTGGAGCCGTCCTATCCTACCAGTGAAAGAAGTTCGTAGGTCCCAATTTTAAAAACATTCTCTTGTGATTGTTCCCCTCATACTCTGGTTCTGCCCTCTGCCATGTAAACACACAGACACTATCCCTCGCCATCCCTGAAGTGGGTGCGTGCCCTCCCTAGGGACCCTACAGCCCAGCTGGCTTGCTTCCTGATACATGTTTGGAGAAGCAAATCTTGCTTTATGGTTTTGCTTATCAATTCAGGCCAGTCTTGGTTTTGGCAATACAGTTCCCTTAGAAACTTCAGATCTCTTCACTTTGAAGCAGCTTCTGGTGCTAAATCAAGCCTAAAGATTTTTTTTTTCTGAGATAGAAACATCAACCTTATTTTCTTTATCTTCTGCCCCTCTCTCTTCCAACTTCATGGCAGTTATGGTGAGGCCATCTGAAACAGTAGGTTAAGGTGAAGAAAATTTAAGCAAATTATTATTTGAAATAGTTTGAAATCCTCTGTTCAACGAGATATCCTAGTAGACCTTCTTCAGGCTTTCCTGATGCCCAGGTTCAACCACTGCTGTAAGTAACCCTTCAGTCCTCCCATACTGGCCTCCCTTTCAATTTCTGCTTGAAACCAGTATGTACTTGCCTGAGTTTCTCTCCTAGAATATCTTTAAACACAGCAAGGAATAATCAGTAGATAAGGCCATGGTTTCAGCACATCCTGGGAAGAAAGAATTTTTCTTTTTTTTTAAATTTAATATAAGTTTATTTTTACATCGTTTTGTACATTTTTTTCATCTCAATTGTAATCCCTGTGGGTTTCCCATCACCGAGTCACCCGTGTTCCATCACCATAGTCCCATGCACTTCCCTCCTCCGACCCCTTTTTGATCCCGTTCCCCACTCCACCCCCACAAAGTGTCTCTGGTATATGACTGTTCATTATTCTTATTATTTTCTCATCTGGTCCATTATACTCCTGCTATGAGTGAAACCATCCGGTATTTTTCAGAAAGAATTTTCTTTACCTCCTCAAGCATCCCTATTAAAAAGGGATACCAAACTTGAATCTCTTAGAAATTGCTGTCACTAGGTAGAGGCCCACATATAAAAATAATTAAAAGAGACACTAGCAGATCTTGGTACTTAGAAGCTGCTCAAGTCTTTATAACAGTGACTCGTGTCTCTCTCCTGGATGAGTTGAACTTGGCCTCTGCCAAAGAGCCCACGGCCCAAGCACAGTAGCCAAGGAACTATTAGACTTGGTAACTCCTGCCACCCCCTTAGGATATTGTTTTTTTTTTTTTTTTAATTATGTCAGGACAAAGGAACATATTTTACTGGAGCAATTATTCTTGAGTTAAGTGAAGTATTACCTTTCATGTAGAAGTGTCACTGCCCTTACTATGCTCCACTACCTAAAAAGTGGAGAGAACAGGGCCCTCCCTGGTGGCGCAGAGGGTTAAAGCACAACACTGAGAAGCTAAAGCCACTTCCCCATGAGTTCGATTCCAGCCTGCCCGGGAGGAGATCCACATGGGAGGCAGACCTCTCCTGGCCCTCCTGCTCCTCCCCTCAGCAGTGTACTTCATCGATCTGCCTGTTCTGTCTGTGTCTCTGGTGAAGCCTCTAACTGCCCCTGAGCCTCTGGCCTATACCCCAGTTCTGTATGAATAAATAAATAAATCTTTAAAAAAAAAAAAAAAAAGTGGAGAGAACAAAAGGAAGATTAAAAATTAAATTAATGGGCCCTCCTTGGTGTAATGGGTTAGGATGCAACACTGCAAGCTGGCAGCAGCTGCTTCAGTGAGAGTTTGATCCTGGCCCTGGAGTTGACCAACTGGCACGGCAGACCTCTCCTGACCCACCCGTGGCTCCCCTCAGCAGTGTACTTCTTTGATCCACCTGTTCTGCTCCCCACTCTGTCTCTGGTGAATCCTCTCACCGCCCCCGCACCTCTGGCCTGTACCCCAGTTCTGTATGCATAAATAAATAAATCTTTTTTTAAAAAGATGCATTTTAACAAAACCTTAAATTAACAAACTATTAGGTACTTGAGTCCCATGCCCTGAGTACTAAACTTGGCTTTTAGGAAATTGGCTCCCATTTGGGTTCATAGATTGTCTCCATATAAAATGGTCACTGGCAGGCAAGCCCCATGGTGAGGAATTTATCCACCCTCAATTCTAATCTCTTAAAGGAGAGCTGGGTAAGTGGTGGCAAGAAATAGTCAGTCTTACCCGCAACACACACAGGGCATTTTTCTTGCCAGCCAGTGAACTGGCTTCTCAGAGATCTCAGACCAAGTGATTGGGTATTTGGGAAACATCAGAGAAACTTAAATCTTGTTTTGTTAACAAAAAAGACCTTACCATTTAAACCTTGTTTTAAAAAAAAGTTCTTACTGAGCTAAAAAGACACTCCTCCAAAGACGAAATGCAGGTGGCCAACAAGCATATGAAAAAATGTTCAACATCACTTGTAATAAGGGAGATGCACATTAAAACCACAATGAGATACCACCTCACCCAGTGAGAATGACACATCTTAAAACAACTAGCAACAACAAATGTTGGCGAGGATGTGGAGAAAAAGGAACTCTCCTGCACTGCTGGTGGGAATGCAAACTAGTACAACCACCTTGGAAAACTGGAGGTTTCTCAAACTGCTACAAATGGAGCTTCCCTATGACCCAGCAATCCCACTCCTAGGTATCTACCCAACAGACAAAAAACACTGATTCAAAAAGATACCTGCACCCCCATGTTTATTGCTGCTTTATTTACAATTAGAAAGACATGGAAACAACCCAAATGCCCAAAAGTAGATGACTGGATTAAAAAAGATGTGGTAC